CATGTTCTTCATTTATGTTTATAAACTATCTATAGCTTTTTCATTCTGTTTGTCTTCTCTGTAGTTTGACTCTGCTGGTCTGTTGTGTACACATAGCATCTACTGCATCTGTCCATCTTAAAGCAGGGACCCCTTCTCTGTTGTTCTTCCTGAGATTTCACCAATTTTTCCATTTAGGGATGTTTTCTGATGCTTTTCCTTATCCAAACTGAGGTTCTAAGGACAGAGGCTTCACAGAGTGATACCGGGCTTCTTAAGTAAAACCGACTTGACTTCTTTAAACCACCAGTAACTGATGTCTTTGTCACTTATGTGCAGCAGAAACGAGCTGTAACACAACACACACAGTTTATCACTTTTAAAGCGGATGTGTCAGCAAACAGTTGGCCTTTAAACATCCTGTGGACACTTGAAGTTATATTTGCACCATCAGAAATAGTATGTGGTTTGGTGGTGGTGGGGGCACCAAACTGTTGTGCTTTAGGTCCAGGTCACTGAAAACAGCGGCCTGATGATGACAGTTAAAAGACAGTGAAATGGAGTGTGGAGCTGAGGAGAACTGCAGTGTCAGGGAACAATTCTCTGTGAATTTGTGACTAGGAGCAAGCCCCTCTCATTATACACATTACAGCACATTCTTATGAAAAAGACATTCATTGATTAAATATTTGCCTCTGAACAAACAAATACTAGAGGTCATGACAGACACCATCAGAACTCAGGAAAAAAACAATTACTGGTGTCTGTCCAGTTAGGACAATGTCAGTGCTGCTGCCACTCACCATTACAGGCCTCCTCTGCCTCAGAAGCTGAAAGGCCCTGATATCTCAAATCTACTAGTGTTTGACTTTGTAAGCTTCCTCATGAATCGACTGCACTCATATAAAGGTAGTTGATGTGAAAGACTGACTCACACTTTCTTTTCAAATTGCAGAAAAATGCTTAAAACCTGTTATCAAGATGTTACTTCATACTATCATCAAGAAAAGTGACACCCGTGCAGCTTAACAGAGGGTGATAAAGCTAAAGATAAAGACAAAGAGAAGATGATTAAATTAGACGATGCTTGTTATGCATGTGTGTGTGATAAACAGTTATTGATCAGTCATGTGTCTTTTCCAGACAGAAACTTTGTAACACGTCCTCCAACCAAAATGACAATATATTACCAGCAGGTATACCAGACCTTTGTTGTCATGGAAACTGTGTTAAACATACAGTTACAATCCGTTGGACTTTGGTAAAACTAAGGTGAAACTAATTTTCCTGTTACAGTTCCTGCATTCTGTCAAACATGGTTAATGAAAGGTTCCATTGTTCATATGAATGAATATGAGCTAATGTTTGATGCTGCGCCTTAACCATTAGCCTACCAGGGATGGCGGTCGTTATAGCCCAGTATCGGTGAGCGTTGTTACCTGTCATTGAATCCTCCCCTGTGGACCGACGCCTATCTCAAAACAGGGTTGTAGATGGATGACAAGTTGTGTCTTAGTCCGCCACCCCTATTTAGTGTGTTATATTTTTATAAAAATAGCTTCCTTGACTCCTTTCTCAAACCAGCGATGTTCTCTGGAGAGGATCTGGACTTCACTGTCCTCGAAAGAATGTCCTTTGTCCTTCAGGTGGAGGTGGACTGCTGACTCTGGTCCACTGGGGTTGCCCCTCCTGTGTTGGGCCATGCATTTGTGAAGCGGCTGCTTAGTTTCACCAATGTACAAGACATTACACTCCTAACTACAGTAAATTGCATACACCACATCACTCTGTTTATGCCTGGGTGTTTTGTCCTTCGGGTGGACCAGTCTTTGCCGCAGGGTGTTCCCTGGCTTAAAGTTGACTGGGATATTGTGGTTACAAAAGATCCTTTTTAACTTCTCTAATAAACCAGCCACATAGGGGATGACAATGTTATCCCCGCTTGTTTCTGGTTTCTCCCTGTTGGTGTTCCTAGCTTTGGTGAAGGCCCACTTAGGGTATCCACAACCCTTAAGGGAGTTCTGGATGTGTAATTTCTCCTTCTTGGCCCCTTCTGCAGTTGTGGGCACTTCCTCTGCCCTGTGATTTAAAGTTCTGATGACTCCCAGTTTGTGTTGAAGTCGATGGTGTGAGTCAAAAAGCAGGTACTGGTCTGTGTGTGTAGCTTTCCGATATACTTCTACCTTCAGGCTTCTGTCCCCTCCCAAGTGGACTGTACAATCCAAGAAGGCCAGACAGTCATCTCTAGCATCCTCACGGGTGGATGTTGCCATCCACTGAGTTGATATGTTTGGTGAAAGCCTCTACCTCCTGGGTCCTGATCTTAACCCATGTGTCATCCACATAGCGCAGGGGTGGCCAACCAGTCAGAGACCAAGAGCCACATTTTTTACTGTGTTACCGCAAAGAGCCACATCATACACATGGGCACACATGAACATCACTCATCCCTTCCTCTCACACACACACTGCTCAGCCAGATTTATTGTAAATGTCACACACCAACATGATAATGACAGAAATTGACTCCTACAGTACTAAGACCACAGGCCAGTCATTTTCAACAATGAACATTGTGTGCACTGTCTCACACACACAAACTCTCAGTTCAACCAAGTCCACAAACAAAAATCTAATAATTTACAATAGCGTTTTTCTTGTACTATGCATGTTGCTTAGTGGGACTTCTGGCATTCCTTGCCTTGAACAATCCTCTTCAAATCTGGCTTGTATTCCGTTGTTGCCACTCGAAGCAATTCCTTCACATGGGTGTCAGTCAGAAGAGATCGATGCTTTGATTTCACGTGTTTCAGGGTAGAAAACACAGACTCGCAGACGTATATTGACCCAAACATTGACAGTATTTTAAGCGCAGCCCGTTTGACATTGGGGTATTTTTCCATTGGCACACTTTTCCAGAACTCAGTGGTCCCTTCCCTTAAAGCAGGTTTCAGTTGGTCCTCCTCACAAAGATCGATCATCTCCAACTCAGCTGCAGCCTCATCTGTGACTAGCGGGGCTTTCAAACAGTCCGTCTCCGCATTAAATGGGTCGACGAGGAACGTAATCTGTGGCCTTTTCAGTTGTAGATCACGGAACCGGGTCACAAAGCTTTTGTGCAGGTTTTCAACCAGTGTTGCATATCTGGCTCTTTGCTTATTCAGGGCGGCGCTGGTGACTTGCCCGCTGGCTTTTAGCTGAGTGGGAAAATGCGTTAAATCTCCCTTTTGAATATGCGTCTTGAACAGCTTCAGTTTGCTGACAAACGCAAACACACTTTGCACCGGGTCAGGCAGCATTTTTAACTTACCCTGCAGGGTCAGGTTCAGTCTGTCCAAGTGACGCAGCATGTCGACCAAAAAGGCCAGATCCATAATTCCCTTGAGGTCCGAGACCTCGGGATAGTCCTTGTCCTTCTCTTCCATTAACAGTTTCACGGTATCCAAAAGCTCAAAGAAGCGAGAGAGTACCTGGCCTTTTGACAGCCACCTCACAGTGCAGTGCAGCGGCAGGTCACCTGGAAGCCCTTGGTCCAGCTCAGCGATGAGATTCTTGAGATGACTGTGGTTAAGCGCATGTGTGCGGATGTCTTCGGATGTAGTTCACGATTTTCATCTCACGCACATGCGCATTTGACGAAAATACCGTATTGAGCTGTGCTGTAGGTCAGACTGTAAGGTGAAGCTCTCAATTTACTGGTCGATCTACGTTCCGACTCTCACCTATGGTCATGAACTTTGGGTCATGACTGAAAGGGCAAGATCCTGGATACAGGCAGCTGAAATGAGCTTCCTCGCGCACCCTTAGAGATAGGGTGAGGAGCTCGGTCACCCGGGAGGAGCTCAGAGTAGAACCGCTGCTCCTCCACATTGAGAGGAGCCAGCCGAGGTGGCTCAGGCATCTATTTCAGATGTGCCCTTAACTGGAAGTAGGTAGTGTTTAAACAGAGTTCCAGCAGAGTGCATACATGGTCTGGGGTGAGGTTAGTCCTGCTGGTCAGCATGTCATCTTTCAGGAGTCTTTTCTTCACCGCCTTGACAGCCTTTGTGGTGGGGATGCAAGTGAACAAGGATGTGACATCATATGAGACCATGGACAACCAGGACGAGACCAGCCCAGCACCCGATGTGCACAACAACATAACAACTGAATAAAACCAAAACCACAAAGACAAAAATGTACACACACACATCATACTATGTACAAGTTAAAAGAGCTACTGTAGCTAATGTACATCTGTAAGTAGTTGCACAGTGATGTGTACAGCATCCTGTCATACCATCTTAAACACAGACTAAGTGTTCATCAGAGTGACAGCTCGGGGGAAGAAACTGTCCCTGTGCCTGGTTGTCTTGGTGCACAGTGACCTGTAGCGCCGTCCAGAGGGGAGGAGTTCAGACAGTTTGTGTCCAGGGTGTGAGGGATCTGCAGAAATCCTCTCTGGCCTGCTTTTGACCCGTGAGGTGTATAGGTCTTCCATGGCACCGATGGTTCTTTCTCCAGTCCAGAAGGGCAGGAGTGTCTGGGCTTGCCTGATTTGTTTACCAAAGTGACGCAGTGGTCTCAGTGTCTGTTAGGGTGGAAACACACTAAGCCGATGTCAAAGAACTAACAGTGATGAAGATCAGCATCACCTTACATCGCTTTTGTCTTGACTCATCTGTTAGTCTGTGAATAACATTCGTGACTACCTGTAGAGTTCAGTACCGCTCTCTGAATAAAAGTCTAATGTAGTTCCTGTAGAGGCACTGTATGTACCAAAGTGGCCCTCAAATTTCCAGACACTACTAACTGTAGTACTGCTGTGAGCGATTTCTTCCACTACTGCAGTTTAACTGAGAACAAACTCTGCCAGTGCTACACTGACAAACACATACAGACAGGCCACGGTCACAGATCACTGAAAGAAAGTAGGAAAATTAAACAGACAGCAGCCAATTTGAATGGCATCGCACAAAATTATATTGCCCTGAAGTAAAACTAATGTTATTTCCACAGGAAATATGAAACGTGGGGGCGACAGAGTACTTTATTACTTTTAGTACTTTATTTGAATACACACTAAGAAGGTATGAGTATATAGATATAATTTCATATACAGACATGTACTGTAGCTGGGTGGTACATGAGCCACCGTGTACTGAGCTGCAGCTGTTCAGTCACACTCCATGGATCCAGCTGGATGTTTTTTCCGTGACTGAATTCGAGCACATTTTGGACACTTCTTTTCCTCAAAACAGTTTTTGTGAAAGCAGGCTTTGCACACTGTAAAAAGAGACATTTATAAAACAATGTGTAACTTTTTTAAGCTGAAATAGTTGCTGCTGTTGCTTCAGAATTTGAGCAGGTCGTCACTGGTCATGAAATGATCCAAAATCATGTTTTGGTTTAGTCTTGAGGAACAAGGAGAATCTTTCATTAACACTTTCCACTTTAATATTACAGGATTAATATTAATCCTGTCTGCATGAGGTTTACTGTATGTGTGTTTCATGTTACTGTAGCAAATGTGCCTTCATTTTCCTGCATATTTCCCCTATTTTAAAGTAATCAGCATTTCTCAGTGCTTACCTGGGCAGCGCCTACATATGTCCCTCTGAAAAGGAAAGATGACGTCCCTTTCTCGGCAGAACTCACAGATAAAACCTCGGGCCAGACACAGCTGTGTGAAAGAGGTCAGAAAAAATGTTAAACTTACTGACACAACTACAAATACAGTGGCAATGTCCTGAAGTACCTCTCCTCTAAAACAGACACTGTATGCACTGCAGGATTGGTGATGATCTTGGTTATGTCCACATAAAAATGTATGTATATATTTGGGTCAAGGTAATAATGATTCAGCGATATCTGCAGACCTTTCATACCAGTAGAGGAGCAGTGATAACACTGTCCTGCATTAGAAATAGATGTGTCACACTCCCAGTCTTGGCCCTGTCTCCGCCCCATGCTATCCCTGTTATTTCAGATGCAGGGTACAACCCAAGTGCCTTGAGGGTAACACACACTGGTGGAAAACTCAAGTGTGTCATTGCAGAGTGATGCTATCGTCCTCTTTTCCCAGCATCAAAGCACATCTAAACAACATTCGCTGTCTGGATTGCAACCTCCCAGCCACCGTACCATTATCTTTTGTTTGGTTTGTTGGTTTCTTTAGTAGTTTTTGCAACAGCTAATTACAGTGGATGAAGAAAAACATGTTGAGATTGAATAATACCCAGAACTGTGACCTGCAGTCCAGCCTAAAAGTTTGCCTCAAACTTGGAACAGTGCCTTACTTCTTGTTCACTTGTCCCGCTCTTACTACCTGGTCCACCCAGCTCTACCCACACTCACTTGCTTCCTGTCTGCATACTCAGCCACTCAGGATGTAGTAAGCCAACAGCCAGCACTTGCTCCCTACTGGACAGTCCATGAGGAAACGTTCTGTGTGACTTTCCAGTGCTTATCCTTGTTTTCCTGCTTTGTTGTTGAACTGTTTCTGTGATAGACTGGCGACTTGTCCAGGTGGACCCCGCCTTTGCCCAGTGACAGCTGGGATTGGCTCCAGCCCCCTGCGACCCTTGTTAGGATAAGCAGTATACAGTAGATGATGGATGGATGGATGGATGGATGGACGGACGGACGGACGGACTGTTTCTGTGTTGCCCTGTATGTGCTGTTGCATGTCACTTGTGTTTGGACATGCAAGTCTCCTGGCTTCTGGTCAGTTGCCTGTCACTACTCTGAACTGTTTGCCTGCCTGTGTATAGACACTGTTTCATCTGGATCTGGTTAATTGTCCACCCTTGTCTGAACTGTTTGCCTGGCCTGTCTGTTTGGAGACAAACTGCTTTGCCCTTTTTACCCTTGATTACTTCCCAGAAAGTGAACTCTACCTGAATTCCATGTGAAACTCCTGTCTAGTGTGCTTAACTCTTTTGGAATCAAGACCACCTGTGCATATACTTACCTGTGCACCTGAGTCTGTCCTTTCACCTGTGCTGTGCTTACCTGTGTCCACAGGTAAGCACAGTTACTTGTTGTAGTTACTTATCTGTCAGCCATTTTGTCCGCCCTGGTTTAAGATGCACTCCTGTGAGTTCACTATTAAATCCCAGTTCTGTGCTGGTGTTTCTGCATTTGCATCTTTAAGGAAAAGTTCTAAACCATGACTACGCATTTTCCTCAGTGCTTCAGACTGACCTTACAGTTTTCCACATGATCGATGGCGGAGTGCAGCAGTGCTCTGGCCTGCACCACAAGCTGACCCTTCTTTGCTCTCAAAAGATCATCCATGGAGAACAAAAGTGACGATTCCACCAGGTGAGCAGGAAACTGCTCAAACTCGCTCATCACCCTGGAACACAAACACAGTGACATTGCTTTCTTTGATCAGGGAAAATATAGTGTTGTGGAGGTTTTGGTTGCTGTTGTTTCTGCAGTGTTGTTGATTAACAGGACGTACCAAGTGCAATTGCTTCAAATTAAACCACTTGCTTGTTGTACAGCAGTTTACACATTGTAAATTCACACTCCTTGCAGTATTGTACTGTTATCTGCAGTAAAGAGTATTACTGCATGTTGCCGGGTTGCAAGTGAGAGCAGACGTCTTTACTGCTCCTCTTGTCTGTTCTACACTTCAAGTCTTTGAACATACTTTTGTAAGATTTGAGTCTTATAGACTCTAGTTACTTTATCAGTTTGTTACTTCTCATGCCTTTAGTTCCCTTTAGTTACCTTTCATAACTTTATCTTACCTGATTACAGCTGTATTGATTATTGTGCATTACTGAGCCCTGGTTATTTTCTAATACAGTCATTCTCCTTGCTGATATGTCTTACAATTTGAATGAGGTAGAATCTGCTTACTTTCTGCAACTTTTGAATGTCTGCATCCCCCAGGCAACCAGACGACCTATTTACATTTCAACAAAGCCCCACTAGCCCACACCTGGACACACTTAGCATATCCCAAGTTCTGCCCCACCAGGGGGTGTCTTACACACACAGGGGGTCTTATCACCTGAAGATGACCACTTGGCCAGCTTATTGTCTCACACACACATAGGGGACCTGCAACCCAGTTAACCCATTGTTTGGTGTGCTTGATCAC